ACCACCAATCAATCATGAATGCACCGAGGCACCTGTAGAGTGACGTCATGAACGTCAGCGTGAGCCCCGTCGGGCCGATGAACGTCATTGGCTGGCCGCCGAAAGCCGCGTACGTCATCCCCCCCAGACCGCACGACACCACGTACTCGATCACGCCTAGCGTACCCTGGGTTACCTGGGGAAATTGGGGTGAAGCCATGTAAAAGCATGCCCCTCGTAGTAGCTAGACCATTGAACTCGCCTCCCCACAATGCCGGGACGAATCGATACGCCGGGTTTTCGCCGGCCCAGGCTACGGTTCGCAAGGATGCACCGGAAGCTGTTCATCATCTGTGCGTTCGCTGTGCCAAACCAGATACGCCATGGGTTGAGTTGACATCCCGGCTATCCGACGTTTCACATTCAATAGGTGCGACTAAAACTCAAGCACCTCATCGGGGGGTCCTCGTGTTAATATCAAGGGGGGGTTGGGGGGTGCTTCCCAATTCCGTCTAATTCGGTTACGTCAGATGTAGCTCTACCACAAGCAGGGACACCAACCATGACAACAACTACAAGGTGGAGGTCGCATGCTTTCTGGTATGGTACCGCTCGTAGACGCCCGTTGGCATCGGGGTCTTGGGCATGAAGAAACGACCGAAACAACTAAAATTCTCTCACGCAAGTGACAAACTGGGGCGCTGCCGTGGATTGTCTGACCCGCGAGGAGGTCCGTGCGGGGGCGCAGCAGGCACTGCTGTGGATAGCGATGGCCAGCCGCAAACGAGACGCAAGAATCGCGACAGAAACAAAGGGACAACGTCTGTCAATCGCCGGATAAGGAACATTCGACGTCGCCAACACAGCAGAAACGACATCAACAGCAACACCAGTAGGCGAAGCGTCAACGACGCCACCACCCCCAACAGGAACCGGCAGCAACAAACCTGGGTCGCAATTCCCCCGAACGCCACCGCCGGGAGGAGGCAAGTGAAGTAGAAAAACATGATTGCCGGCAAGGACTTGCGGTTGACTCCGTCCGACCAATCGGACTTGTAAAACTTCGCCCTACACGGGTGCATCGTACGAGATCGGCATCGAGCAAGCACGGTTGGTTCAGTGGGATGGGCGCGTGCAGCTGTGATAGCGCGCGACAATTTTGGGTACGCGTGTCGGGATTTGGGCGGTACTAATAGGCGCATCTGCACAATATTTGGCCACCAGTTGGGTGTGCCTCTTGACTGCGAGAGAGAGAGACAAGAATCGAACTTGGAGGGCAACAAGCAACTGCTGTTACATTGACAAAGGACAAAATTGACAGGCTAGCGGTTTCTTGAGACTAAAGATTGCTGAACGAAAAACCAGAGTAACCCTCAACCTGGAAGTCAAGCGGGCTGACCGAGTAAGGCGGGAGAGCAATAAAGCCGTTCAACCTTCTACGCAAGCCGGCCAAGGATCCATTGGTCACAAATCGAACCCACGGAAACGCTTCACCGCGCCGCCAGAGAACGTTCTAGCCTCCTTCTCATTCCTATAACGAAACACCCACATCACGGAGTTAAGCTGGCCACCGAAAAGTGGCCAGGTACAATATCCCTACGCTTCAGGTCCGTCATGAGGTCCGCGCCGA